GCATCAGTAACACTTAGCACATATACTCGGTTTGCTCACTGCGAAATCTAACAAAACGCACCGTCCCGTTGAGCTTGATCGCGGCTTCCGCACTGCTCTCCTCCACAAACGTCACGTAGGCGTTGCAGTTGTCCTTAGCTGTGGTCAAGATTTTCTTGTTGGCGCAGACCTTCATCATGAGCTTCTGGTTGCCCGCGTCACCCACCGCACAACCGGCGATGGGAAGATGTCGAAGACGCACGCTTTCAACTTGACCGCACACGGAAAAATGCTTCTTGATGTCTTTCTGTGTGGCGTCCAGCGACACATTGCCCACGAACACTGTGCGGCGCTCCTTGAGTTCATCAGGCGTGAGTTCTTTCTCCTCTTCAGCCTGATCATCACCTTCTGTCGTTTTCTTCTTGCTCTTTTTCTTCTTCTTCTTCTTATCACCGTCGTTGGTCTCCGCAACTTCAGTCTCATCGTCGTCCTCTTGCTCTTTATCCTCCTTAACATCCTCCTCGTCGTTTTCTTGATTCTTTCTATTCTGCTTGGATTCCTTCTTCTCCTTCTTCTTTCTATCCTTTTCGCTCACAGCCACCTTAGACGTCTCCGTCTCCTTCTTGAACGTATCCGCCACCGCTACCGCATACGAAGCCTTTTTGCCGAAAAACGCAGCGCTCTGAGCGAAGCCGTCAAACAGCGCGGACTTGTCCTGGTTCTTTACCTGCTCCTTTACAGCCTCCACCACCTCAGGCTCCAACGCAGGCTGTGTTGGCTCCGCGGTGGCGAGCAGCGTGCTCTTGCTTTTGCTCTTCTTGCCCATGGTGTTGCTTGTCACGAAATGGATGGAGGCCGGCAAAAAGTGTCCGCTGATTTGAAACCAGATGTGATAAAGGACAATAAATAAGGCAAAAAGACATCAAAAGGCATTAAATTGTAGAAAATACCAAGCTGCATCCAAAAAGCTATCATGCCACACGTAAGTGTGATCTGGGTCATGAAAAGCTTGGACGCAGCAAGTATTCGTATAGAACTACTGTAGCTGCCGTGAAGAATTGGACAAAACTTCAAAGTGCAGTCTAAATTTCCGCCTGGTCGTTCGTGATGAACTCCTTGATAGCCTTCTTCTGCGACGACATGTCGCGACCCAAGTCCGCGCTCAGCTGCCGTACAATCTGCACAATCATGGAGCAGCATGCCACCATCAGTTCTTGTCCAGAAACTAATTGAGACAAAACCCGCTTACCTTCTTGACTGTCAGCTCTTCAGCGTTACCGTGGGCGATGATATCCCTGACCTTGCTGCAGACATCGGCGCCCAGAGTCTCCGTCTCAGGCTTCGATTCTTCCTTGTCAGCGGCATTGGCCTCCTCCGGCTCAGCAGCAGGCTGCTCCTCGTCATTATCGGCAGATTCGACCTTCTCATTGTCATCTTCGTTGTCTTCCTCATTGTCGCTTTCTACCACGCGCGACTTCTTTGACCGACGAGTGGTTTTCCTTTTCTTGGTAACCTTTTTCGCTTCCTCAAAGTCGCTGGATGATTCGTCCCCTTCAAACTCGGTGCCTTCGTGGTCGTCCTCCTCGTCTTCCTCTTCGTCAGCTGCAACCGCTTTTTTCTTGGTGGTTTTCCGCTTCTTCTTCGCAGGCTCGCCGTCGCTCTTTTTAGCGTTTTTAGCCTTTTTCGCGCGCTTGTTCGATTTGGCCTTCTCCTTCCTCGCAGTAACCGCAGCCTTCTTTTCGCCAAGCTGTCGAGCAAAACCCAACAGACAACATATTAATTACTTCGAAAGTACAGAATTTAATGATAATACTCGACCAACGCATCGCATTCGCACCTTTGTCACTTGCGGGTTGTACAGCCAGTCCACCAACCGGTCAAGCAGCGCTTCCTTGTTGTGCGGTTTCTCTTCCTCGTCAAAAGATTTCTTAGAGCGATCCACCTGTAAGCAAAACGCAACAAACATTAGCACTAACACTGCTACAAGATATGAGCTGCTAGATTGCCGTCCATACCGCCAGCAGATCCATCACTTCGTGGACGAAAATGAGTTTCCACTTGCCCATCTTGGCAACAAGGTGCTCCCGCGACTGCAACAATCATAATTATCAATCAGACCACCACTTCAACAATCTTTCTATCTCCTACAGTAGCCACACACCTTCTCGTCCTGCTCAATGATGCCTGAGAAGTCCAGAATGTGCTCCTTGATCAATTTCACCTGTACCGGTACCAATCATCAAAGCCCTCGTGAGCTTCACACAAAATTCACCTCTTCTAATTCACCTATTCGCGTACGTTCTTCTGCTGGAAGCGACGGCCATACATGATGCTGTAGAGCTGCTTGATCATGTCGTGCTGCTTCTTGCCCAAAGCCTCGACCTGCAGCAACCAACCAATCAGTCCATTACAGTACTGCAAACTGGACTAAAACATGATACATTGGGTTGACTTACATTGTTCTTGACAAACTCCATTTTTCTCGTACTTTGACGCCCTTGCTACTGGAAGACGAAAACTCCTCCGGCTCGTCACTCTTGGCCTGTGTGAACGTAAACGTCTGCGTGCTCTTGCGTACGCGGCCTCCCAGGCTTGTGGACGTGACCGAGGACCCGGAGGCGGGAGCCTGGTTGATCGCCTCGGCCTGCGCATCTACGGTCAGCTCCGTCTCGGGCTTCTGCGGCTCGTCGGTCGTCATCGTTGCTGGTGGAGCTCCCGCGCTTTTTGATTGTGACACCCCTGCCGCTCACACAAACGGACAAAAACTGAGCGAGCACGATTCACGTACTGATGACAAAAACACGTTAGGGTTTTCGTGAATCTCCACGATGCTAGTCAAAAGGCGCGAGTTCAAGCATGCTGAAAAGAGAGCGCTGCGGGTAGTGCATTTTCCGAGTGTCATGTTGCGCCAACAGAGCCTGTTGGCGAAGCGCAAACAATACCGAATAAAACTGCAGCTTCATATCCTTTTAATATTACTTAGTAAACGTGAAGTGTTGCCAGCAAAATGGTGGGCTCATTTGACCAGCGCGGCAAGGTCTCCGTAAGTGAAGTGATATCAGAAGGCGTTGCATGCCAAAGTAACCCCACCGCGCAATGTGTACCCAAAGCCCAAGGCGCCATCATTTGATGAATGCCTCGACTCCCTGCGACCTCCGCGAATAGAACTCCCAGCTGCATCGCCACTGGCCTGGCAAAGCAAGAACTACAGCATGTACCTATGTGGTTGCCTACCTCACCAGTGGTAGTCTCTGCCAGTGGTTGATTCTTGCTCTTGTCCACCTCGCTGGTCCAAAAGTCGTGAAAAATAAAACTTGAAAACGTCAAACTTGAAAACGTCAAAAACTCTCTTCCTACAATCAATACTCCACCCCTTACAAACGCCAAGTCATTCGAAGCACAGGACACAAAGCCAGGGCACTTACGTCATATCGTAAAAATTAACTTTTCCTTCCGGCTTGTTCGAACCAACTTTGCTTCCAGGACCTTGCATTACGAAACTTCACCCAGCGCGGCGCCAAGCCAAGCGTGACATCTTCATCGGGATCCCTCCGCCACACTTTGCAACACCGCGCGATGACGGAAGCCGCCGCGGACTACCACGCGCTGCCGGAACAGGGCTCGTTCTCGGGCCACGGTGCCGAGCGCGTGAGTCGCCGCAGCTCTCAGGGTCCGTCCACGACGGTGCCCGCTGCGTCCACCGACAAAGCCACGCCACTACCCAGTGGCTCTACGGACGAAGCGATGATGGAACTGGGCGATGTGGACGATGACGCCGTGGCTGTCATGCCCCGTGGCACGCCCAAACCTCTTCCCAACGCCTTCCTTGGTCCTGGATATGGGCGCAACTCATACTTTACATGGCGCTTGCGTATGAGCACGTTACTGGTCGCGGCGCTCGGTATTGCAGGTATTGTGGCATTCTGGGTGTCCAAGGATATCGGACATGGAGGCGTGTACGTACAGGACGTAGGATACGCAATGTCTTTCCAGCGTACGATAACCACGGCGTGTATTGCAGACACAGACTACTGCGGCGCTTGTGACACTATTGTGGTGTACGCCATGTTGGTGTATCACGTGGCGCCGCTGCTAGTGATCATCGGTCTACCAGCATCCGGTTTGCGGTTATTTGAGCCTTTTCGACGACGTCGAGACGGCGGAGGCCGCCAGAAGATCCAACGCTCAGTATTTTTCCAGTTCTGCGAACTCTTGAGCGTGGTGGTGTTGGTGTTTAGTCTCCTGGTGATTCTGTATTTCGTGTATGCAATTTTCCAAGGCAATAATTTTCATTGCAGTCAGGCACGTGCAATATTGTACGTGGCCTTCGCAGTGGTGACATTTTTCGCAAATTTCGTGGTACTCACGTACTTCGCACGTTTCCGAGAGCATCTGAGTATGCAACTTGGGGCGTTTAAGGAAACGGACCAAACTGGAGGTATCCGATCTCGACTGCAACGTCGGCGCAGTAAATACAAGTCAGAGCGCACGCGGGTGGTGAACGACATACGTAAACACCTCTACAAGGAGACGTCACTGGGAAATGTAGCCAAGATGGAGACGCTATTGGAGTACGCTAAAGAGCGGCTGGGCACAGAGTTCGCCCATGAAATGTACAATGACGCCAGACTGGTCTTCAAGCTGTTTGGTCGCTCCAAGAAGAACCCAATTCATGTGGCTGCTTATCTGGGAAACGTTCAGGCGTTGCAACTGCTTTTCGAGGCTGGATTCCGTGTGGATAGCTATGATAAGGTGTCTCGCGTGCGTTTTACGACTGGTGATTTATTCTGGACATTCGCGCAGATCTTCGTTTCGAAACCTCTGACGTCTGAAGATGAAATGGCTGCGTCGATCTTCCGTACGACGCTGGTGACGCCGCTACATTGCGCTGTGAGTACAGGGCAGATTCAGGCAGTTCAGTGGCTTATTGAGCATGGCGTCAACGTGAATCTCAAATCCAAGGCTTCGTATTGGTCCGACCGGATGCCGCCTCTTTTCGTCGCTGATAACCCGGATATTGTGACGCTGCTACTTGAAGCTGGCGCAAACCACCTCGAAGTGCCCGATCCTGGCCATATGAATACGGTCACAGTGTTGCAGATGGCCTACATGCGAGGCAACTTCCCTGTTGCACACGAACTGGAAGAATGGGGTGCGGATGTGGCTCTAACACCTCTGCATGAAGCTGCTGCCAAGAACAACACAATAAGCATCAGGAAGCTGCTAAAGACTGGCGCGGATCCGAACTGTGTGGGCGAATACGGTTATACAGGCATGCATCGCCGTACTCCTTTGCATTGGGCAGCGATTACTGGCGCTGTCGAAGCCATTAGCATGCTGCTTGAAGCTGGATCCGATCCCGATTTCCAGGATATCTTCGGTCGGTCGCCACTACATTGGGCCGCACGAGTGAACAAGCCAGCAGTGGTGCGTTTACTACTGACAAAAGGTGCTGACGTGAACCTACGCGACTATCGTGACCACACTCCTCTGCTGTGTGCTGCGTCCTCCAAGAACGTGAGTGTCGACTTGTTTGACTGCCTCGTCCAGCATGGCGCAGACATCGATGACCGTCTTCCGAATGGTGATACAGCGCTGCATATTGCGATGAAGTGTGAGCAGAAGGGAACAGCATTGGCACTGCTGGACGCTGGAGCGGATGTGATGGAGACGAACCGGGATGGCTACCGTCCTGTGGACTGCACCACCTCGACGCAGTTGCAGTTCGAGATTAAACAAGCTGCTGGAGATCGCGACGTTATGATCAGTTATACGCACTCTCACAGTCAGTTTGCGTTAAAGATTCGCGACAGTCTTGAGCGTGCGAACATCACGTCCTGGCTTGATCTCATGGACCCGACTGGTATCGGTGGTGGCTCAGTGTGGCGTGAAGAGATTGCTCGTGGCATCAAGAACGCCGAAGTGATCATTTGTCTGTACACTGAGGACTACCCCGTGTCGGAATGGTGTCTCAAGGAACTCGCCCTGGCGAAGCAACTAGGAAAACCAATTATCGCCGTCTCTCCGGAGGGTGCAGCAGTCACAGAAGAGATGCAAGTGTACATTTACACTCGACAAATGGTGCCGTTCGAGCCGGCTATCAAGAGCGTCAACAACACCAACAAACGCAAGATTATGTACGAGTACGACGAGGAGCGGTTTGCAGCTCAATTCCGTCTGCTACTGGACGGTGTACGCGATGAGATTGAGAAGCAGCGCGAGGCAAATATTGTCGGTGGTAGTAGACGTCGATTGGCCAATGGAACAAGTGTGGTTGGATTCGGTGAGAACATCACGGACTGGGACCCGGCCACTCTGGATAATATCCCGTTCGCATTCGTCTCTCATGGGGATGTCCACCACAGCTTCGTCAAGCGACTTCATGACCGTCTGCAGGATAACCAGGTGCGGTGTCTACTTGACGGTACACAGTCGTATACGGATATGACGGAGCGCATCCATGCTGCCAAGGAGGCCATTCTTAAATGCGAGGTGTTTATCGTGGTGCTGTCAAGGAAGACCGTTAATAGTGAGCTGGTGAAGGACCAACTGGCGTTTGCTGAAGACAAGGGGAAGCCTATCTTGCCAGTTATGCTGAACGACATGGAGATCCCGCTGGATAAACACTACACCCTTTCGCGACTGGAGCTGCTCCACTTCACACCGGAATTAGGCTTCAACTCGAGCTTCATGCAGCTTTTGGGTCGTGTACGCGATAACATGACGACAGCCAATGCTTCATTCAACGCGCCACGTGCATCAACACGTCCGACGTTCCGAGCCGTAGCTCGAATGACAGCCATGAACCACGCACGACAGAATAACAACGTGGCTGTCAATGCCGCCGCCCGTGCTTTCCTGGGACGCCCTCGACTCTCGGAAGCGGCGTGAACTGGACAAGATTTCCCTAATAATTGAATTATAAAGTTGCCTCATCGGCTGCATTCATGAACGAACGCCATCCCCATGTTGAGGTGCTTCCAGAGTTCCTACCACCCTCGGTAAATCTGTACGGAAACAAACTGTGGCTACGATCGTAATTGGGGACCCGGGCGGTGGGCCCGGGGAGTTTCGCAGCTCAAAGTTCCAGATGGGATGCTATATTTAGCATTATGAGTTACTGTAACGCGTTTCGCTTAAGAAAATAACTCGAACACACGGATAGGGAAGCTGGCACTTCCTAAACTGTTTGTCGCCGAGTAAATTCAATTCTGCGGAAAGCAAGCGCATGGGCTCTGCTTTCTCGTGCCTATCTGTTCTTCCTATCCAGTACTATAGGGTTGCCGTTGCCTAGCTTCACGTTGAACACTCTAGTGAGTTACAAGTGCCATATGGACTGATGCACGCATGCAAGAGTCTATTGCGTGTGTACAAGGCTTGCCTAGCCATTTCACACTACAATTCCCTCCCAAGCCTTGAACACACTCGAAAGCTTTTTGGGAAAACCGTAACCATAGTTACCGTAACTTGGTTACGACAGGGTTCGTTGACCCCAGTAACCTCGCAAGTTACTCTAACCGTGTAACCTGGTTACACAAGTGTATCGCAATGGATACGTTGTTAGATACACCGTATCTTGTTACATTTACATGAAGTTTGTGTAACTATGTAACTCACTGACTCTAGCCTTCGTGGGTGGCTCTAGTTCGGTAGTAATAGCTCTAGCGCACATAGTGCCGCTCTAGTCGATAGGCTCTTCCACTGACCAGTGCACTGCACTCTGAGTCACTCTTTCATAGAGCTGTGGAAAGCCGAGAGTTTCTTATCCTTAGCTCTCTTGATGTAGCTGCTCACGAGCACTCTAACATCACTGTTCATGGCTCTTAAAGGCTCCCAAGAGTCCTCTATAGCCTCCAATCCATCCCAACTGATAAGTAGCTCATAATCACGCATGTCCGCGTTCCAACGATGCTTTAGAATGTCTTGAACATTCAGCACTATACCCTGTGCGGCAATATGCTCTCGTAACTCTTCGGTCACTTCTAAATCGCTCTCAGCAAAAAACTTCAGCCGGGAGGCATGTACATTGCTCTCTTTCCCAGTGATGAGATGCTTCACGGTGAACGAATGAGGGTTACACTGGGTAACCACATATGGTCCTACCCATGTCACCAACAATTTGTTGTGGGTCTTTTCATCCACTCTGGATCTCAAAACGTAGTCTCCCACTGAGAAATTTACCATTTGATAACCCGCCGCACGTTTCTTGTTCAGCAGTGCCCTTTTTTCACGTTGATCGAATACTTCTTGATGCAATTCTTTTATACCGGCCCGCAGTGCTGTCAGTGACTCAGCAATATGTTGTCGTGACGTATCCACACTGATCGGTGCATAACCAGGGACGAACAGCGTCGAGATCGTACTCGGACATGGTAGCCCCGTAAAGATTTCGATCGGAGCCCTACCGGCTAGCGACTGCACCGGTGAGTGGTTAAGGTTGGCTTGTACAAGCGGAATCAAATGCACCCAGTCTTGATATGCAATAGCGTAGTCGAGTATCATTGCTCGCAATACCTGCAGAACATCTCTGTTCACTCGCTCGACGGAACCGTTCAGCCATGGGCTATACGCCACAACAAAATCCTGTTTGGCTTTCATAGACTTGCTCAGCTGGGCCAGCACTTGGCTCTTGAAATGGGAAGCATTATCGCTTATCCATGTAGTCGGTACTCCATATCTACTATGGCACCATAGCATTGCCTCCGCCGCCACTGCACTAGTTGGTGCGTCACATGGTATCAACTCGCAAAAGTGACTAAAATTGTCCTTGATAATCAAAAGGTACTTACTCGTACCAAAACTTTCACCCAGGAAAAGAAAATCCCAATTGATGGCTCCATTACGGACATCTGAGCGAAATAAAGGTCCCCAGGGACGTGGGATTACTCCTCCCCCTTTCACATGATGACAAAGTAAGCAGCTCCTCAAAAACCGCCGTCCTCGCTCCGTCATATTGTTGAAAATGAAGATTCTCTTTATGTGGTTCAGCATGACAGCCTCTCCACGATGACCCTGTGGACCGCAGTGTGAGACGATGAAAAGTCGCTGTATGAGGCTGCTTGCTGCCTCCGGTATCCATATTTTCCCTGTCAATCTGTATACATCATCCTCACTCGATGTACACGCTCTTGGTCTACCATCAGCGTGTGCTTTCTGAGTGTTGGCGATCTCCCGGAGCGTAGGCCATACAAACGAGTCCGTGTCAAGTGGTCTCAGAATTGGGCGTTTCGTTTCTTTTTCTTGCATGCGAGTCACTCTCTTGAAACGGTTAACTGCTGTCTGTTGTGCGCCACCCCAACGAGACACCAGATCGGCCCATACGTTTTGTTCTCCCTCGATATGAGCTATAGTATACCGATACTCTGCCAACTTTAATGACCATCGAAGCAATTTGCCTCGAACATGCTTCTTTAATTCCGGACTTGGAGCAAAGAGATATATCAGATTGCGATGATCACAAAAAATCTTGAAACCCGAGGGTCTCAACAATAAGTAGTACAGATCGTCACAAGCTGCCACTATTGGATATGCCTCTTTCTCCGTGACCGACCAATGTAGCTGTGCCCCAGTGAATGTTCCCCCTATGCATGTCAACAGCTCATGCTTCTGTTCAGTGACACTTTTTTCGGCATCCCAATTTTCCACTTGCGTCAGAATGGCTGACCACCCCCCGTCGGATGCATCACAAAATAAAGCGAACGTCGCTTCATCCTTCGGGTGGGCCAGCATTGCTGTGCTGGCCAAAAGCTGTTTGACTTGGTTAAAACTGTCGAGCTCTGAGCTGCTTAACCGCAGTGAAATTCCCGCTGCTACTCTCTTTGTTTTTCGCTTTCCTTCTAGCGCTTGATCTAAACGTTGCTGTAGCGGATGGATAGCTCGGGCGTAGTTGACTAGACTATCCCTCATCCAGTTCGAAGCACATATGAACTGCTGTAATTCCCCTGCCGTCATTGGAGGAGGCATAGTTGACAATGCTTCTACTCGTTTTGGGTCATGCGAGATACCTTCCACAGAAATAACCTTGCCACACCATGTCACTAATTTCTGATACAAACATGTCTTAGTCACGCTGAATTTCAATCCATAGTAAGCCATCTTATCAAACAACATCTCCATTGCCTTCAGATACTCTTCAATAGTGTCCGCATACAAAAGCAGGTCATCAATCCATATCAACAATGAGTCGTAAAGTAGATCAGCAAAACAACCCTCCATTGTGGCTTGAAAATGAAGGGCTGCATCACAACTACCTTGTGGCACTCTAGTCGGAGTGAAAATTCCTTCATCAGTTGCGTAAGATAAAATCTCTTGGCTCTCTTTCGCAAGTGGCAGCTGCCAAAAACCCTTGATAAAATCAAAAAGTCCATAATGTTTCTTGCGTCGAGCGTTATGCAGCTTGGCGTCGAGATTTGGCATGACCCCCGCTATCGGCTCTGTTATAGCCTTCACTGGCTTGTAGTCATTGGCCTGTCGGAACTCATCTGTGCCTGGCTTCCGCACTGGTAACGCAGGACACGCCCATCGACTGCTCTGGTTCCGATACACCCACCCAAGTTCCACCAACTTGCTGTTAAATTCACGCATGAATTTGCTTTGAGCTGGCGAATACTTTCTTGCTTTGCATCTGTACGGTCGTGCTCCTTCTTTCAATCGGAGTTCGTATGCAGGTACTCGTGCAGGAGGATCATTTCGAAGATCAATCCGCCAAATGTCATGTTTCCGCACTAATTCTTCCAATTCTCGTCGAAACTCTACTGGAAACCCTGCCTGAATCGCGTCATCGACCAATGTTCCCAGTTGCTCCAAAATCCCCGACAGATCTGGGTGCTCGGTGCGTTTGTCCTCGACATTCTCGTACGGATCACATATCTCATCTACTTGTGGCTGTGCCAGCTGCTCAAGTAGCCTATCAACGTCAATTCCCAACGACTGAAGTAGATCTTTGCCTACAATAAATTCTTCGTCATCATCCTCAATGACTAGACATTCAATAGGTTTCTGAGGCTCCACAACACCCGCGGCCGTTCCAAGTTGGATAGCCAGATCTACAGCTCTGCCAGCCTTGACCCAATGCCCCCCAACCGCACGACCCTTAATAGGTGTCCTCAGTTTTCTTATCGGCACTTCGCTGCCTGTCGCTGCGTTCAGCTTTTCCACGACCCTGAAACTGATCAAACACCGAGTTGACCCAGTGTCAGCGCAGTAAGGCATTCGTAGGACACCATTCACAAGAATAGTGCCCGCCGTATTTTAGTTGTCCTCACGCAGGCGTTTCATGTTTGCCCCGTTCGGTTTTCCTTTGCTCTTATAGTATTCCTTGGGTAGGTCCCTTTTTCTGCATCAGTCGCAATCGGACACTTAGATGCCCAATGAGATCCTCCGCACTTCAAACACCCCTTATCAGGCACGGATGCGGTCGATTTGGGTTTTGCACTCTGAGTTGGCTGCTTTTTCTCAAATTGCGAGTCTGATTTGCGTCTATCGCTCTTGTTTTTCCATTCACCATGTCGTTCAGTTTCGACACGGCGCTTTTGTTTATTGTGGTGGGTATGTCTCACGCTCTGTGTGTCCTCGGAGGTTTTCTGTCGCTTGGACCTTCGAAATTCTCTGTCTTGCTCCAAAGCCTTGGCCAAAATCACATCATGCAACTTGCACTCGTTGGTCTTGGCTTCCGGTGATTGGTACCGCAATGCATTTCTTATCTCCTCCTTCAACGCATCAGGTGAGATTGAGTCGACCAACAGAATGCACTTCTCCTTTACTCCCGTTTCCGAATCAAAGCAGGCTTGTAACCCGTGCTCTTCAATGATTCGATCACAGGACATGAAATATTGTAATACGCTCGTTTACATCACTCTCCTTCAGATCTAAACGAAGTTCCTTCTTAAAAAGAGCTTGAATGTCTGGGAGCGTGTGGTTCTTCACAGAGCTGATGATGTTGTCGATTTCAACGCGTAACCTTGCGTCATCGACATCTTCAACTGCGATTTGCCACCTGAGACGGCACCAAGTCTCAAGTAGCTTCCTGTCAAACGAGTCCTTCACTGACCTAGTGACAGTGTCGTAGTCCTCTCCACTAGTCAGACAACGGGCTCTCATGACGTCCTCGTAGACCTTTCTCTCGGTGCGCCATTGAACCAGAGCGGCGTGTGAGGTTGATGTTATGTCCGGGGGTAGCACAGGTGTGAAAATTGGTAGTCCCCCACCCTGCTCTCGGTCCTGCCCAGTACTGTTCTCCTTGCGAGATCTGGTCTCCATTTCTTCAGTGAAACGTTTCTCACTAAAGTCGACTTTGTAACGCGTTTCGCTTAAGAAAATAACTCGAACACCAAGCTGGCACTTCCTAAACTGTTTGTCGCCGAGTAAATTCAATTCTGCGGAAAGCAAGCGCATGGGCTCTGCTTTCTCGTGCCTATCTGTTCTTCCTATCCAGTACTATAGGGTTGCCGTTGCCTAGCTTCACGTTGAACACTCTAGTGAGTTACAAGTGCCATATGGACTGATGCACGCATGCAAGAGTCTATTGCGTGTGTACAAGGCTTGCCTAGCCATTTCACACTACAGTTACGCTGAGATCACTGCCACATAAACGTGGAGTAAAAGCTATATTTCCCCTCAAAATACAATGCACCTGAGAAAACGTGCAGCATTTATTAATAAGTCAACGGGATAAAATGAGGGGACCCTGGAGTCAAATATGACTACTGGATCCCTCGCTGATGGCAAACAGGTTGGCCAATGGGATCTTGAATAACAAGAGTATGACAACAACGAAAATCAGCAATGTGTCAATCTGACTGGAGGTCTGAATTTTGAAATGATAGCACACGGAAACGTATATTATATCACAATATACTGCAATCATTACAAGACGAAATGCCATGTCACGTGTGCCTCAATACACATTAAAAGAGTGCTGGTCCATACTTGCGCAACATTCACTGGGTTCCCAGGCACTCATCTGTCACTATTCTAGTTTCGTTTTCTCCCCTTCCCACGAAACTAACAAGAAAGAAGTGGAAGGGATGCTTCGGCGTATTCAACAGCTTCAAGTCCACGCTCGCAAGTGCACGACAGTTGACGAGCTGCGCATTATTGCGACCAATCCGATTGAGGACCCAGTTCGAGCCATATGCGCCTTTATGGCAAAGCACCATTTGCACGAGGAGTGCACCTTCGATGACTGCAGCAGAGATGAGTTTGTGCAATCTAGCAAAGGACTTCAAGGTTTGATGCATGGGCAATCCGGATCTGCACGAAACATGTAAGCATGAGACCTTAAGCTAGCATGCTTCCCACCACGAACCACCGCTAAATAGCGCATTGGTTGGGCTCGATTCAGCATTGCATTTTCCGTCATCGTTAAGTCCATGAATTCATCAGGTATTTTACCGATGTAGAATCCGTTTGCAATTGCATACTTAGGTCAGTTTGTCAGTCCCTTGTTATGCAATGAATTCAAGCATGGTTGACAAAGCTGCATTTTCACGGAGCTATCCTGAACCTTTATACCACCAGGCGATTGCGAAAGCCCATCCAAGAGAGACGATAAGTCTGAAGCATCGTAGTACTTCCAAAGCTCAGCTGGCAGGTCTTCAGGACACCTTAACCGTTGCTGCATAGTTTTAACCAAAGCCTTACACTTTTCCGCAGATCTGACAGTAATCCCACGACACGGAAACAGTCCGTCACATACGCAGCAAAGTGTTTCTTCCATGTAGTCACTTGACAACATTTCAGCACATCTTTTGAGCGCACGATCCTTCACGACACTTGGAACCTTACCAACTTCCCACATACATGGATCAGGATCATCAGCAGTACCTCTAGCGTCGACCCCACACTCACCAATACTTTGCAATAGCTCATTACAGTTGCAACTCTCTTTCCATAAGCAACCTTCTCATACTGAGACGTTTCCACTCGAGACGCAGCAATACGCCTTTGTTGAGTCCTAATTCGCCGACGCTCAGCTGCTGCACGTTGCACACATGCATCACACCGTGATGAAGCCAAACCGCGGCCACGTGAAATCTCTTCCAGGCTCGCACAGCAACAAACCATCACTTACAGCTTTACTTGACTTGAATCCTCACAGCCACCTGAATGTGAGACGGGTAAATCGTTTAACAGCCTTAAATATTACTATAAACCTGATAAATCACAGTGCAAAATAAACTAAGTTTAGTACCGCCATTTTGAGAAATATAACATTCAGCATTACCGCTAAAACAAATTGAGCGCAATGCGGCTATGCACTCCTACGCACTGAAGCGAGCCACACGACGAGCGAAAATAAATCCAAAAATCCATGTAGTATCAAATGTTGAAATCGTAATGCCACCATGCTTATAATCGTGCAAACGCTTCAAGGTTTCAGCTACTTGAATAACAAAGCAATGCGTGACACGTTTGGAATCGAAGGCAGCACAGATATAAACACCTTTTTCCAGCGTTAGGGCTACTAGTTGTGACCCAGCGACGTGACCATTCACCCCAGCCGTTATATTCTTATCGAGAATGGGCAAACTGAGTCTCTGCTCGGGTATCAAACACTTCTCATTTGCAAACTTGATAAAGTACCGAAGCTCCCCATATGAGATCCCCTTCTCAGAAAGTGGACGACCTCGCCCCTTACAATGCTCGCGGAAAGACGCAGCCGTAGTATCGGTACACCAATCAGCACTTCCGATTAAGTTAGAGGCGACTCGGATGCCATAGAAATCACAATCCTTACGCGGAGAGGCCTAGCTTGTTCATTTGTTTTACAAAATTTGAAAAAGCAAGGTGTACGAGACTGTTTCCAAGTACCGTATTCCTTATGTGATTGGCGACGCTCGGTCATTAGCGACAAATCCAGCAGCCAATCAAATTGATTTAAATTTCGTGTCGTCGCGCTTTATGTGCTTGGCGACCAATATAATTTTGAGCATGTAAAATAGTTTTTCTATGCAGGTATCTTTTATGCTGGCAGAAAGGCTGGACCACCTCAAGAATTTGACTGTCGCCAATCACATAAGGAATACGGTATCCACAATATCACAAGCATCATCAAATCCATCGGCACGCAACGACTGCCCAGGCTCCCACGAGTCCGGCCATCGAAAACCATTAGACGCATCCCGCCACTGAACTCTGTAAAGATAGCTGTATCCATCCCAAATGCGATCAATAATACCAAATACTACTTCAATTCCAGAATCATGCTGTTTAGTTGGCTGTTTCAAAGCCAAAGGAATTTTAGCGTGATGTACTGTTCCAGTATTTTTCGATAAAACCTGTCGAGAGGCAATACTGCAGTTCATACTTGAGTCGATTCCGTCAGTATGAACATGGTTGACTCGAGCTACAAGCGATAGTTTAGTCGGTTTAGTTCCAATACGACGAGCACCAGTAATATCCGCTTTATTATGCCCAACGAGACAAGTCTCCATCGAAACCCCGTGTGGCACTCGATTTTGTGATGACTCTGGCAATAAAACAATAATCAATAATCAATACGTAAGATACTTCATAGCTGCATACCAAACACCTTTCAAATTTACCCTTCAACAAAGCACAAGACGACCTAGCTTGTTTGCACTGCTTTATTTGATTTTGATTCAGCACGAACAGGCTCACAGGCTTGCAAAGCTTCGCTTGGCCGCATCGACTCCTCCAACGTCTACCTATCGCCCCGCAGCGACTCGCTTTGGTCGAACGAAGGGAGCGAAGGTAGTGACGACGCAATCCAGACGAAAATTTACGCACCATGCCTAGGTGCTATGAAGAACCTCTAAGACTGAAAAAGCTGAAGGAGCAACCCAAACAATGTTCTCTCTATCTATCAAAAACATATTAAAGAAAAGGGATATTTCATCGAATTATCTAAACTTATAATGAGACAAAATAACTCTTTTATTCTGACTCGGTAAGTAAAAGTACACCAAATCCAGAGCTTCCCGTGCACCGCACGGCATTGTTTGATAACGTGCTTCCTTGCACCGCGACGATGGCGGTGAACCAAGCAGCTGGATGTGAGTCGACAGCCTATCCTTTTTGAGCCATCCAGCGCTCGTCACATCAAGTGGATGAGCAATTATCGAAATCGTACGTTATTCTACGCTGTTCTGCGTGTTGTTTGCCTCGATCATATACTCTTCGCAACGTAATCTTCTGGTATATCGGTATGTCTTAAAGGGTTAAGCAAGAGCGCTGCACGCTGAGAATAGCGTTCTGCAGAAAATCACATTCAAATTGTAACGGGGTACGTATCCCTAAGTGTACCCCTAGTTACATGAAGTGTGACACGTCATACTTCGGAATATCTGGTACACGGTACCAGGGTCGTCCGAGGCCATTCATTGGCTGATGATGCATTTATACAGATGACTTAAAGTTTGTTTGTTAACTCAAGCTTAGCCTACTTATAAATACACGCAATTTACAACCTACCTAAATTGGTCACTTCGCTCCCTTTTGGCAAAGAGGACCTGTAAGCTGCCGTTTACTGAGAGTTTGTATACTCTCTGAAGCCAACTTTCCTCTAGCGCAAGGTGCTGTGTGACCCCGTCACACTTGGTAGCACTCGTAGTCAATCCACGCCAACGCCGGTAGACTACCTGAATCTCTCTGAAGTTCGTTGCCATAGATAGAAGTGACTTCTCCCATCTGAACGACTCACAGTTCGAGTCGGTTCGGAAGATGGATGGCATCTTCGGGATGGAGGCCCTGCAGAGCCTGGTGGCATTATCGGCCAAGCAGCTCGAGCGCGTCAATGCGTTTGACGCTTACGAGCAGGGGCTCATCGCACATGTGCAGGAAAACCTGCAGGCTCCGGCGGCGGAGACAAACCCGTCACACCCGAAGCCAATACGGCTGAAGGTTAAGCCGAATGAAGGGAAGGAAAATGAGAGCCTTCGCTTCTGGGTCCGAGAGGTAGAGCTCGCGATGGACGCGGCTCTGATCTCGACCGAGCAACTCCGTGTTGCTTTTGCACTCTCCAACCTTAGCGGCCGTGCTAAGAGTTGGGTGAACACGCGGGGGGCAACATCCCCCTGGATGTTTCGCATCCTGTGTAACGGGGTTACATGGTGTGGAGCACACAGGGGTACGAAGTACCCGGAGAGTTAACAAAATCTCAGTACATAAGTTGGAGAGTTAACAAGGTCTCTCAGTACGT